TTCAAATAAGTGTGTTTATGCAAGGTTATCTAAATGGCCTATATCTAATTGATGCAGAAAGATTCATCTGTGTGAAGAGATGGCAAATCAGTTAAAGTTGAGGCTATAAGAACTTTTAGGTTATTATTAAAGATTGGTTATTATTTGAATTTGAAAAAGACATTTGAGGTACTGTCTTTTTAGATGAAATTTAGTTTTTGTTTCTACATTGAATAAATTCGATTACTTTTGTTCAATTGAAAATAGTAAGTTCAGTCTTTCTCTTAATTCAAATATTATGATTACAATCCTTTATTCAATTATGATGACCTATATCTACTTAATATGGCTACTTCTTATAAAGAAACCTTATACATAAATTCTCGTTGTATTAAAAAAAATTAACAAATGAGAATTTCGCTTCGTTATGGAATATCTTGCAATTAGATCACATCTCTCAAAAGAGAATGAAATATCTTATATCAAAACGAATTCTTGATTCCCTTAATCTTTCACACTGAAGTATTTATGTTAATCATATTAAAGGGAAACAAACAAACATAAAGATATTAGGTACCAATAAAACTTCGAACATCTTAAAACTAATTTATACGAATATCTGAGGACGATTTCTAGTGACTTCTTGGAATGGTCAACGGTTATTTATTATGTTCAATGACGATTTTTTTCATTCATTTTGACTACCTGTTTCTCATCTATGAGAAATCCCAAACATTGGACATGTTCAAGGTATGCATGGCTGAGGTTGAAAATCAACTCAACAAAAGAATAAAACGCATCAGATCTAGTTGTGGTGGCGAATACTATGACAGATACGACAGATCAGGAGAACAACGTCCAAGGTCTTTTGCTAAATTTCAAGAGGAATGTGAAATCGTCTCACACTACACCAAAATCTCTCTAAGTTGAAGTGCTAAAGACTGAAGGTTAAATTCACAATAAAGTTTCAAGTAAAATAACTGTCAAAACTCTTTATAAACTTTGGATTAGCAGGAAGCCTAGTTTGAAACATTTGCACATTTGAGGTTGTCCAGCTAAGACAAGACCTTATAGGCCTAATGAAAAGAAACTGGATTCCAAATCTATTAGTTGTTATTTCATTAGATACTCAGAGAGGTCATAGGGTTACAAATTTTATGATCCCACTATAAAGTCAATTTTGGAAACGGGAAATGCCCAGTTCTTTGATGATGTAGGAAAGATGAAGGTTAGAGATTTTATATTTGAGAAGGAATATATAAATATTCCTTCTGTTGTAATTGATTATGATATGGACCAGGAACAAATTCTTGCTCCAGATTTTGTTCAAGAAGCAATTTCGGATCAAAGCAATATTATAAAATTTCTCATACACGATCAAAAGATTATTTCAAGAGAACAAATTTAATAACCTCAAGAACAAATGTCATTAAAGAAATTTACTAAAGAAAAGAGAAAGGAAATTCAAATAATTTTATAATCTTTCTCTAAGAAAATAAGGATAATATTGTATTGGTGGACGAAGGTCCAATTAATCAACTTTCATTATGCAAATGCAAAGGAATAATTTCTAAGAATGGATTAATGCCATAAATAAAGAGATAAAATTCATGAGTAACAATGACATTTAGAAACTCATTCCATTGTCTGAAAGTGTGAAACACATTGATTATAAATGGATATTTAAAATCAAGATGGATTCGAAAAGTGATGTGAAGAGATATAAGGCTTATCTTGTGGCAAATGATTTTACTCAAAAGGAAGCCATTGACTTTAAATTGACTTTTTCTCTGGTTTCTATGAAAGACTATTTTATGATTATTATGTTATTTGATCTTAAACTACATTTGATGGTTTACAAATAAAAAAAATAAAATAAAATCTATGGGCTTAAGCAAGTTTTCTGTCAATGATATCACAAATTTCATCAAATAATTATCTTGTTTGATTTGGAGATGAATTCAACTGATAATTGTGGATATCACAAGTCCAGTGGGAGTAAGCATATTTTCTAGTATTGGATGTCAATGACATATTAATTACCTACAATAATAAAGGATTATTGGATTAAAACGAGAGATTTCTGACATGAAAGATCTTGGTGACGTCTCTTTTAGGAATATAAATACGTTGGGATCGTTATCGGGTATATTTGGATTATCACAAAAGGACTATATCAAGAAAGTTCTTAAAGGATTTGGGATGTAGGTATGTAAATCAGGTGATACCCCCTATTACTAAGGGTAACAAGTTTAGTCTCAATTAATACCCCAAGGACAAACTTGAAGAAATGAAAGTACAAAAAGTTTCTTGTACTTCAACAGTTGGGAGTTTAATGTATGCGAATGTTTACATAAGTCTAGTTATGAAATTCATGGGTTGAATACTAGGCAAACGTTTAAATAACTCTGGGATGGATATCTACAAAGCAACCAATTAGGTTATTGGATATTTATTGAGAACTAAGGATATGTCAAAGTTTATATACATTAGGTTTCTAATTGTTAAGGAAATAATTCAGAGTATATAGATTTCTATAGAATAATTAAGACAAACTCTATAATCATGGATCCGCTTACTGAAGGACTATCACCTAAGGCCTTTCATGAGCATAATGCTCATATGAGTGTTGCATTTTTTATTATATGCCATTTGGTGGGTGTTTGTATATGAATGTTGTTTGTTTTGGACACATAACTCTATATATGGATATTTGGTTTATTTCAAAAATAAAGTATTCGGTTCAGGTTCACTCTGATTAAAGTTTAGGTTTGATCTCATACGGTAGGACTAGTTGGAAATAGACATGTTCAAATCATATTGCATATAATTTTCATGCTATACATTCACACATGATTTATGTCATTTGATTGTGTTAATATACGTGACCATTGAGGGTTTAGTTATGATAATTGTAACGAAAACTGCTTTGATCCTATATTTGTATAATCAATGCACGAGATTGTTTAGAGATGCCTTTTGGTTACGATAGCAAAAATATTGAACTCATAATATTATACACATTTATAAAGAGTGGGCCAAATTATATGGGTAGAAATCGGATTCTTTTAGAATTGTATTTCTTGATGGAAGAAATATATATGGAAATTATATATAGGATTATGATTCTCAATTCATATACAACTTCTCATTCTTTATGTATTCCATCAATACAAGAATTTAAAGAGAAGTCATATTGAAGAGGAAAATCCAAAATCTACAATTAATAACAAACAATCTATAATCAATAATCAAGATTATGGATCAAGAACCAAGAACAAGAATCAAAGAATCCTAAGAAGCAAAATTCAAGGTTGAAAGCAAGAAACTAATTAAGAAGGGGTTCCAAGTTGATTTTCAATATTCAAGATCCGGAATCAAAATTCAATAATAAATAATCATTTTCAAAGAATTAAGGCATGTTCCGCATTTTTAATTTTCTTGATAATTTGACATGGAGGGTCTTAACAATAAAATAATTAGATTTTCATGTTCTTAAGATTTAAAATTCTATAAAAATTAACATCTTTTAGACAAAAACTAGTTAGAATTCGAATAACACAATTTTATGTTAATGCAATAGCTTCTTCATACACTCGTAACTCAAATCAAGATAGACAAACCAAAAGGAATGGCAATAAAGGGATATCGATCGCATTCAGAACGAGTATGGGCTCATAATTAATTGTCAATACTACAAAAACCGGAAGCCAAACCGTCTTCACAATTTTTATGGTATTCGACTATGTTTTGAACATGATGCAGTAAACCTTTCAATCTGTAGTTTCTTAAAATAAACATTTAAATATTTTTAAATAGTTTATTTATTAATACAAATATGCTACATGCACATTCCTTTTAGGAAAAAGCCTAGTGTACAGGGCTTTTTCCTACAGGTTTTATACAGGGCCCTCACTGTAGCGAGGGCCCCACATGTATTAAAAAAAAAAAATTAACGTGGACCCACCAATGTGAGTACCTATAAAATATCTGGCAAAAAAAGCCATATACATGTAGGGTGGTCCTTCTTTTTAACATCATATTTGATAATGTGTCACGTGACGTGACGCATGATTAGACATTTTTTTTTTAAACACTTTTCGGCCCAATACTTCTTGAACTCCAATAAAATGTATACAAAGATGTCAATCACGACTTGTACACTCAGCATTATTCTTATTAATATGAGTAGCAACATAGGTTGTCTTTTTCAAAACGAGTTTTGCTACAGCTCAGTGTGCTGTGAGGGGGCCAGCAATTTTTTTATCGAACGCGAGCTCCACTCTCCTGTCAAAGGACCGTAAACCAAGCTGTACAAACATCAAATGCCTTTCAAAATTCTGTTTTGATGGTTGGTTTAAGAATTTGTTGGCAAGAGGAAATAAAAGATCCAAATTTCAGTAAAAAACTATATGACATAAGAATGTCCCGTAAGATCCCCTCAAGAAGTGCGTAATACTACCCTTATCACCCCCACATTGCCCTCTCCAAGAGACGGGCAGTCTATCTTAGTGCTTGTTTGCCAAGAATTTTGTTAATAGATTTTTTGACCATGAGAGATAAAATGAATCATACTTGTTAAAGAAGAATTCAAAAATGACAGCAAAAATAATGAAATAACAATAAAAAAATTGATTTTAATTAGATTAGAATCTCTGCTAAACACGCTCTTAATATCTTCCCATTTCCGAGTAGATGGCTGGAAAGTGTTCGTGCCTCGATCATTACTTGAGCAGTCATCATTTCTAGCGTTTTAGTCAGCCGAAATTCAAGTTTTCATCGCACTGGTTTTCAATTAAAGATGGCAAACAGATCCCATCTTTTTTCTTGATATTCATGTCTACAACATAATAGTTGTCAACTTACAACACATTTCCTTCCTCTAAAACCATTTCCAGAGGATCCTAATCCCTATAGCCGGCAGTAACCCTTTTCGAAGCGTAGAAAGACATTTTCTTGCATGCTGAAGAAGACGGGCTTTTAAAGTCCCCTCGGTACAGGGAGCAACCAAAGAAAACAGCTGACCACAATATCAAACGGTAGTGTCAACATATGGCGCAATAGCTGGGGAAAAAAGCCAATTCAATCCATTGCTCGATTTTTATTTAGTGGCACAAGGAACCACAGAACAAAGTGAACAATGAAAAGCATTTGAACTGAATCCCGAACAAGTACAATAAACTGAATTGAACTTGGGAGAAAAACTTGATTGCACAAGTTTAAATACACTGCCAAAATGAACTACATCACTATCATTCATCTGAATCTTCAACTCCGCCAACTCAGAAGGATCAGTGATGTTCCTTCTTCTCGAAAAGACCATCTGGACCTGCATTCACACAATTTGCTTACCAGATTTGACGCAGAAGGCACCTGATAGGAAAACGATGGACAAACACGTACTACCTAATTGGATTTTTTATTTTATTTATTTTTTTGGGTCTAAACAGCACCAAGGTAAAAGAAGTCTATGCAGTATAAAACATCAACATGTCATATGAATAAATAAATATGTTACATTGTACAGTGTTGACGTTGAGTCCTGGAGAAGAGTTATATGCAGATGAGCAGAACTATGTTCTCTTTAGTTTAACTGTTTCCTTGGCCCCAATAAGATAAAAGATTCATGTAAGAACTACGATTCTGTTTTTAGTATTCCAGAAAAGTGCTTGTGCAAGAACTTACAGGCTGAAGCTTGAAAGTGATGACAATCAGGACAAAGGATGAAGATAGAGCAACAAATGCAACAAAAGCAACTAGAGCACTTTAATCATTTAAATAAGATGCCTATAAGAAAGAATACCAAATATTGTTTTACTCTACTAGTAAATGTTTTACTTTGCAATACAATTACAAGCACAACAATCTTAGTTCAATGATGGCAAGACACTTAATACATGAACAATTAGGCCCCGTTTGATTACACGAAATTTTCCATGGAACTTGGAATTCGAATTCCAACTTCCACTTTTGGCCTGTTTGATTGACAAAATTTTCCAGGGAATTGATTTTCCATGAATTTCTAGGTACAACACCTTAAAGCGTGATTTTCCACCTTTTTTTTCCTAGGGGATAGGTGGTTTTTGGTTTTCCACCTTATTTTTATTTTATTTTTTTTTTGCTTTTTTTATTTTTTTTTAATTGTTGGCAATGGGAACAAATTTTAGGAATATTTGTAAAAGAGGATATCCCTGAAATTGACAATTTTCACGTAAAACAAAGTCAAACGAACATCAAAAAATACTTTTACTTCAACATTTTCCACATGAAAAATTTATACAATCAAACACAATAATTTACAATTTCCATGAAAACAATTTCTAGGTAATTCAATTCCCTGGAATTCATTTTCTTTCCATGTAATTTTCCTACTTGTAATCAAACGCACCCTTAATTCGACAATGACAAAATAAGCAGCCTCAAAAGTAACCTATCAAAGAAATCTAGTTCAGGATGGCCTAAATTTCTTGTTTCTCTAGTTCTTCATCAAATCTTAAAAAGTAAGGCGAAGGCATCGAGGTTTTCCTATGTCACCAGGTCATCATTAGCTTAATGCACAATAATCTATTTTGAAGGATCAGACGGCCTAAAAACCGATCCTTCCAAACCCCTATAGTAGGTATATTGTATAGCAGGTTTTACATTTGACAGATAGTAACATTCATAGCCAAAACATAAGTAGCCTTAATGGTAACATATAAAGAAATCTAGTTTTCAATCAATAACTTCAAAAGGCAACAGCCCAGTAAAGTCCTTCGTACAATGCATGCAATATGGGCATTATATGGTGAATTAACACTACACAAAGACATTCTCCAGTTAGAGTTAGGCTCCACTGTTCAAACAAGGGATACGCTGCACATTTGCAACCCTTGCTGCCATAGGATAAAAGCAAATGGAAAACTTTGAAGGCTGGCAAACAATATCTGAGACAACAAAATCTGCAGATGGAATGGTGGACATAAACAACCAACTCTTAATTAATAGCTAGATTGCACACATATCTCACAAAACAGAAGGAAAACGTTAGCAGCTTTATTGAATATATATACAACAATCCCTCCACTTCACGATTGCACAACTATTTAATGTTATTGGCAGTCAATAACAAATTAGTCCAAGACCATTATCTCTAAATACTTGCAACAATATTTTTTAATGTTGCTTCAATTTTTTAAGTCATAAAGAAAATCAAACTTGTATGTGTGGATCATTACAAAATGTTGGTGTCCAAAATATTTAACAAGGGTCACCATTTTAACAACACAAATGCAACAACTTACAAATTTGGGTATCTTGGACCAATCATTCAGCAATAATGTCACATAAGGTGGAAAAATCATTGAGAAGGGGATCTTTTTCCAGTAACAAAGAAAAAATAATAAGAACAATTTTTAAAAAAATGACAGGAATTTTTTTTTTTCTTATCATACTTATAGCCAGGAATAACTTTCACATCAAAATATACCCTTTCCAATATCCAGAAAATACACACAAACAGAGAAGCATAATCTGTAATGAATGAAAGCTTGTACAGCCCACAAAAAGATTACCATACTAAAAAACTTACCCCAGGGGAACTCCTTGTTACGGATGTGCAAGTATGGGTATGGCTGCATGCAAAATAAAAACGATCAACCCATTTCTAAAAGATAAAAAAACCTCAGAAACCCAGTATTAAAAAATAGTTAGATTGCAAAATACTAAACAATATAAAACAACGGGTTTCAATCCAGTAACCAAAGAAAGAAAGAGAGAAAGAAACTTACAGGAGGCTCCTCATGGTGAGGATGACCCTTGGATAGGTTAACCACTGCAAGAATAGTGCAAGTTGCGATACCTAGATATGTTATCTTCTCCCACTTTGCAGCCTCAGCTACATTACACACGCAATAAAAATAAAATAAAAAATTAACAAATAACTAAAATCTGGAAAATAAATTGCATCCCAGAAGTTGAAACGTCCATACAATCATAAAAACCAATCCTTTAAAACTATATACAGACTACGTATAACGGCAATGTAATGATAGCCTCGAAAGGGAATACCAAAAAAATTAAAAATAAATTAACATACTTAAATCTAGAAAAATGAATTCTCAATCACATTCCAGCGGTTGAATCAAACATACTTTTATAAAATCGAATTCTTTACAACGTAAATAAAACCCTAGACCGGGAATACAGAATGAAAATAAGATACATGATATATATAATAAAGTATCGATTATTAACATATAAATGCAGAAAACAACAATTACAAGCTTAAAATTGATCGATGATAAATTATTATCCTAAAACTAAATGTTATTTTATTTTTATTATGTACCAGCTTCATCGTGATGTCCATGGGAAGCGAAGGTCCGTTTGGAAGCAGGGGAAGCGCGTGGAACAGATGCGCCGCTGCGGATGGCGGAGCGGAGGCCAGATCTCACAATCGCCGATGCCATTTCCAGACACCTTTTCTCCTCTGTAACGAGGGTTTCGATTGACTTGTGTTATTAATTTATTTGTACGAATTACCCAAAATGGCCTTTTATTTTTTTGAAATCATGAAATAGGCTAGTGACTTCAAGCTTTAGGGAGATTTTTATAAATAGCCTGCACTATTCATTTTTTATAAAATGTCTATAATACCCTTAATGAAAGGATTTGTCATATTTTGCACAAGATATCCTTAATTTATTAAGATAGTTCTAAAATTCTTCTATTTCTCTCATTTCGAGTTTTAATATATAGTTCCATCCTTTGATCTAATAAATTAGAATAATCTGTAATATAATTGTTATGTAATTTACTAAGATTATCATATTCCTTAGATGAAATATCCATAGTTTCTAGTTGGGCAAAAATATTTCTTATTTTTTTTAATAGTTTTTCTAACAGATTATCTAATCCTTTAATTGTATAACCTGACATTATTCAAATAATTCCTTGCAAACTTTATGAATAATAATAACATGTTAGATAAGTTTTTTGCAAACATGAAAAATAATAATCCCTACGATTCTTTCAAGATATTATAAGAATTCTTTCTAAATTTAACAAAGACAATAATTTTACCTTACTTTTGATCTTAAATCTGTATTCTTAGAACCGAGTGACCTTCAGGCTCTGAATCTTCAAATTGCTCCCTCAAACGGCCTTTTGCCTCAATGGGAATTCTGCTATTTCAATTTCTGCCCTCACTGTATCTTTTCTTAGAATTAAGAATAAAGATCTCAAGTAAAGAAAATTCTCTCTTTGTTAAAGTAAGAAAGAAATTATCTTCTTCAATCTATCAAGAATCTATGGGATAGGAAGTTTAGAAATTTATATCTTTCTGATATCAAAAGATTAAAATTTTATTTCTATAATGATTTATACAAGATTTTTATTGTATACAAGGGGTTTCCAGAAAAACTGGTTTTGAAAAGTTTAAGGAAAGAGAATGGTTTCTAACTCGAGATGATCCATTCTTTTCCCAAATACCTCTATTTATACATGACTCAAACTCACTATTATTGATCTATTACATCATTGCATACATCAAAATTTTGAAAAGGCTCCATGCCTCTCTATTCTTTTCCTCCTGGGGTCTACATTGTCATATGCATTTTTTGCTTTTTCATCAAAGTGGCATCTTTTCTTCTATTATTGTCTTTTTATCTTTGGCTTCATATGCAGCTGGCTAGATACTTTTTTATTATTGCTTTTCCATCTTTGGCTTCATATGCAGCTGGCCAGATGCTTTGGTAGTGGTAGGTTCTTTTCCATCCATCAATTTTTCAATTTTGTCTATATGTGGGGCACTCTCTCAATCTGCATGATTCTTGGATTGTTGTTGGACTTCCACTAATTTGATGAGTATCAAATTTCTGGATATATTCTTTCAAAATGGTAGATTTCTCTTTTCCATTATTTGTAAGGAGTGTCCATCCTTCGTATTGGCACAAGCATCTGAATTTTTTATCATATAAGTTCTTTGCAATGTTGTAAAGAATTTTCATCCCCAAAACTCTTCTAGATTTTATCCATGATTTGTTGACTTTAAGCAATGGTTTATTATTTCGGCCAACTTCAATCTGAAAATCTCGGCCAACATATCCAATTGTAATAATATGTTCAGCAGGATAGTATATCCTTCCATCAACTTCGGGACTTATTGAATAAAATTTGATATAAATCGACCTTCCTTGGACAAATTTTGAAACTTCTGCCCTGAATATATCATCAAATTTTTCAATTTCTTTTAAATCTTTTCCTGGATAGATCAAATCCAGAAATCCATAATCTGCTGCCATTTTGATCATAAAAGGGTCTGCATCTTTGGTAATTATTAATTTGGGATAAACATGATCTCCTGATTCAATAAAATAAGATTCATTTTCTTCCAATTCATAAACAATTTTGGCAAATGATCTATATTTTTCTTCTTTTGATGATAAAGGGGTCTCATCATCTTCATCAGTTTTGATTCTTATAACTATTGTATGTTCATCTCCATTTTTTATAGTCACCTTCCGGGGACTTGCTATGTCTCGTTGGATATTACTGGGTCCACTGCTGCTTCCTGGCTGTGTACCTGTTTGTATTTTTGAGATTGTATCAATTGGTATTTCCTGTTTGGTATCTAATGACTCGAATTGTGAAGTAATATCAACAATCCTGTCATTCAATTCTTTGGTATATTTGGAATGAGAATTAGAAATTTCCACCAATAATTTGACATTTTGTTGGATAGATTCTGCCATCTCCTCTAACTGCTCAATTCCAATTTTCATATCTTCAGATTCTTCCATAAGGAATTTCATTCGTCTGTTGACGTCTATTAATGAATTTTTGATATTATCCATATCCGAATTCAATATTCTTGCTCAAAAAATCTGCAAGATAGTTATTTATTCCTTTGATATGAATAATATCAAAATTGTAAAATGATAAATATGCTTGCCATCTGTGTAACCTTCTATATTGAGGTTCCATAGGTAACTTATTTCTAAAAAGACCTGCAACTTGAGAATTATCAGTTTCAACAATGAATTTTTTAGATAAAAGGAATAATGAAAACTTTTTTATTCCTCTAATAATTGCTAACAATTCTTTTTCATGGGTAGTATAATTTATTTCTGCTTGGTTAAAAGTTTCACTTGAATATCTGCATATTTCATTTAAATCTGTTTTTAATATAGCTGCCCAATATTTATCCGAGGCATCAGTATTAACAATTAAATTATCTTTTTCATCTGGTAATCTTAATTTTGGTAAATTTTTACATTCTTCTTTTAATGCTTTAACAATTTCAGTATGTTCTTTATTCCAACCTTTAATATTTGTTTTTTTAAGTAGAATTTGTATCTTATGTCTCTTTTTTGAGAGATTTTCAATAAATCCTTCAGTATAGTTTAAACATCCTAAAAATTTTTGTATTTGTTCTTTGGATTTTAATTCATCTGGAAAGCATTCTATCTTTTTCGATATATGAGTCTGTAATTTTATTCATTTTCTATCTATTGATAATCCTAAAAAATCTATTTCTTGTTTCTCTATTATAAATTTCTTTTTAGAAAGTACAATCCCTTCCTTTTTGCATTCATTTATGAATTGTAATAAATGATCCCTATGCTCTTTTTTATTATTAGAGCATATTAGTATATTATCAATATAAACAATAAGAAAATCACTATATTTTTTGAATATATTATCCATTTTTCTTTGATATATTTGTGGTGCATTTTTTAAATCAAATGGCATAACTAACCATTCATATTTTCCTTGAGGTGTACTAAAAGCTGTATATTGTATACTATCTTCTTCCATTTTTATTTGCCAGAATCCTGATTTACAATCAAATTTGGAATAATATTGTTTTCCTTTTGCAAGGTTTATTAGGACTTCTTTATTTGGTAAAAAATAACCATCAAATCTAGTATATTTATTTAATTCTTTATAGTTTATTACCATTCTAGCTTTTCCTCTAACCTGCTCAGAATGTTTCATAACCATAAAAACTGGACTACTATGAGGTCCATTACTGGGTCTAACTAGCTTTTGTTCTAATAGTTCTTTTATCTGTATTTTAAATTCTTGCATATCCTGTAAGGTATACATCATTGGAACTCTTATTATAACATTTTCTGTTAATTCTATCTTAGCTTTAGGATGATATGGTTTCCAAAATAATAATGAATTTTCTCCATAAATTTTTTCTAATTGTTCTATGATTTTTTCCATACTTATTTCTATTTCTGTTTTTAAGATCTTTTTATATGATAATTTTTTATTTTTTAGTTCATCTTGTACTATTGGTTGTTTTTCCCATTTATCACCACGCTGGGCTGGCTGAACTCTGTAGGGTCTAAATTCTCTTGATATTTTTAATAGATGTGCACAAAGTGTTTGTAACATTATCATGTAATTATTTTGTTTGTAATATTGAAATTGCTGGATAAAATCATTTCCTAATAATATATCACATTCTAATTTATTATAATTATATACTTTATTTATTATGACTTGTTTACTACCAAGTATTATATTAAGTTTTTCAGCACTATCAATTATTTGAGTACTTCTTCAGTCACTCCTGTTATTTTTATTTTACTATTTTTATTCCATGATTTTATCAAGAAATTTTTAAAAATTGTTATATCACTTCTTGTATTAATTAAAGCACAAGTTGTTATATTCGTTTCGACTATAGTAACTTGTATAGATACTGCCAATGGAAAACTAATTTGATTATTCATCCACTTCCTATTCTACATAATGTAGTTTGTCCTTTATGAGTTATATATAATCCTTCTCTTTTTATACTATAATTTTCTAATCCATTTAAGAAACTCATTCCTAATAATATATGAGGTTCAATATCCATACTTTCATCCAAATAGCATGGCACTAAAAGATCAATCCCACCTATTTTTATTGGTACTTTTACTTTTAATTCTGTAATATATAGTTGTCCATCAAAATTCCTATATTCATATGGTTCTATTTTATAAGTCATTAATCCTTCATTTTTATTTGCAGCCATATGACATTCACCGGCTCCTGTATCTATCAATATATTTGATCCTTTTATATACCTTCTACCCTTAAAATATTTTCCTTCTATTTTCATATTTCCAATATTTCCATGAGGTTTTATTTCTTTTATACCACTAGTTTCTCCCAAATATTCCTTTTTATTTGGTAGTTTAAGACTTTTTGATTTCTTTATCAACCTTCCATTATGAAATGTTATTTTATAATCTTCTTCTTCTCTTAATTCTGTTATTCCAGACTTATTTTTAGTTATATTAAATTCATATTATTCTGGGATAAGATTTATTTGTTTGTTTGGTTCCACTATTTTACTAATATCCTTACATTCCTTATAAATTTCTATGTATGGTTTATTGGAATAAATATTCCCATAATTAGAATTAGTAAATGTATATAATGCCCTATATTTCATAGTCATAATTTGATCTCCTGGTTCCATTATATCATTTCTATGTAATTTGAAATGTAATCCTAAAACTTCATTAAAGTTTTTATCTTT